AAGACTAACATGACAAATATCAATTCATTACAGAATGCTTTAGAAATTACAAAAAGCCAAGAAAAAAAAGAAAGGAAGGAAAAAGTACCTATAATCCCCTTGCCCAGGGTAACCATTTTAACGGTTGAGCATGTAGCTTTGTGGAATGTTTATTCCTGCATAAACATACAAATATATGTAGATAAATAAATAACATTCTACAAAATAGGATTGTTCTTTTTTTTTTTTTCTTTAAAGAGACGAGGTCTTGCTTTGTTGCCCAGTGATCAAAGCTCACTGCAGCCTCCAACTCCTGGGCTCATATGATCCTCGCCTTGGCCTCCCGGGTAGCTGGGACGACAGGTGTGCACCACCACACCTAGCTAACTTAAAAAAAAAAAAAGGTTTTTTTTTTCTTTTTTTTTTAGTAGCGATGGAGTTTTGCTCTATCGCCCAGGCTGGTCTCAGACTCCTGGCCTCAAACAATCCTCCTGCCTTACTCTCCCAAAGCACTGGGTTTACAGGCATGAAACTAGAATCATTCTTACCAATATCATTGACTATTTTCATTGAACAGCTTGACGTATTTCAATAAATAAACATCGAAATTATCACTCACAGCAGATGACTGACCTGTTGCTGGACTTGGAGGCTATTTCTTTCTTTTTCTGCCGTGATGAAGAAGCTGCTGTGAATATTCTGTATATACAAATCGCTCACGGTGGAATTGCCAGCTTCCTTTACTCAGCATATATTGACTGGGTTACTGGGTGTAAGCACTGCTGTAAGGTGGGGTGGAACCCATCAGTGAACAAGACAAAAAATCCTTTCCCCGTGCCGCTGGCCGCCTTATGGGATAACGAAAAGAAAAATCAGAAACCGGTTAGTTACATGTAGTACGTTAGAAGGTGCTAAGGATACGCATGTATAAAAATGATAAACTGATCCCCTGAAAGCCGATGGCACTGGGCAGCTTGTCAGTTTGGTCTCTGCTGTACCTGGGCTCTGGCGAGTGCCTGTTGGGGGTCAAACACAGTGTGTCTGCTCTCCCTGCTCACCCTGCTTGATGGCTCTCCTCTGTCCTGGTCCAGATCATGGGCGAGACCTTAAAAGACCCCGTGATCAAGAGGTGCTGTGAAGCCCCAAACCGCCTCAGTGACCTACAGAATGTCAGCGAGGGCCTGGAGAAATGCCAGAAAAGTCTCAACGACTACTTAGATTCGAAGAGAAACGCCTTCCCGAGGTTCTTCTTCATTTCTGACGATGAGCTGCTCAGCATTCTGGGGAGCAGTGACCCACTCTGCGTCCAGGAGCACATGATCAAGGTCGGCCCTCTGAGTGGGCAGGGGCTCCCCGTGTAAGCCTTAGAACCGCCTTCAGTCCTCCCTGGTTCCCTCTGCCGTGAGGTTCAACCCAAAGGGTTAAGACTGAAATGTTGCTAGAGTTGGGTTTTTGGTTTGTTTTCTGAGATAGGGTCTGGCTCTGTTGCCCAGGCTGGAGTGCGGTGGTGCAATTCGTGGCTCACTGCAGCCTCGAGTTCCCCGACGCAAGTGATCTGCCACCTCAGCTTCCTGAGTCGCTGGGACCACAAGTGCACATCACCATGCCTGGCTATTTTTTATATATTTTTTGGAGAGATGGGGTCTCATTATGTTGCCCAGGCTGGTCCCTAACTCCTGAGCTCAAGCGATCCTCCCACCTCAGCCTCCCAAAGTGCTGGGATTGCAGGTGTGAGCCACCGCACTCAGCCCTGGAGTTTTAATTTGAAATGTAAGTCTGATGATATTCACTCAGTCTGAAATCACACCAGATTCAGCTCTTTTTCCACAGTCCAAAACCTTTCCTTTTATAAACTAAAAAAAGTTAAAAATAAAAAATACAGAAATATACAAAGACTAGTATATTAAACAGAGAGGCATTGGAGGATAGTGGTTTCGCACATGGACTCTAGAACCACATGGCTGGGGTTCAAATCTTTGCTCTATTCTGAGTTTCTGTGTGGCCTTCGGCAAGGTACTTGATCTCTCTGGACATCAGTTTCCTCATCTGTGAACGGACATAACCCCAGTAGTTACCTGTTTCGGTGGAGCTGCTATAAAGATGGAATGAGTCACTATTTATAAAGCACTTTGAACAGCGCCTGCTTTGCACTGTTGGCTAAACAACCCTCTCCACTACCCAGAATTGGCACGTGTTACCATTTAGTCATATTTGGTTTGTCTCTTTTTTTTGTAAAGTTGTACAAATTTGCAATACTCTTTGTTCCCTTCCCCATTCATACTTCCTCTACTTTCTTTTTTTTTTTTTTTTTTGAGATAGAGTCTCACTTGTGTCACCCAGGCTGGAGTGCAGTGGCATGATCTCAGCTCACTGCAACTTCCACCTCCCGGGTTCACGCCATTCTCCTGCCTCAGCCTCCCGAGTAGCTGGGACTACAGGCGCCAGCCACTGTCATGAATTTGTTATGATTCCTTCCAGACCATAATTTCATACTTTTTAAATAAATGTATATGTATCCACGAACCATTTCTGGAATGGCAGCAAACAACAGAGAAAACTGCCCCTTGTGATGGAGAACAGAGGCTGAGCAGACATGATCTTTGGCCTGCTAGTCAAAGCTCTTTATCTAGCGTCAGCCCGGGCAGGGGCTCTGAGCCTCGGCACTGCTGGCATTTGGGGCTGGATGACTCTTTGCCATGGGTGCTGTCCTGTACATTACAGGATATTATGTAGCATCCCTGATCGCAACCTACTAGATGCCATAGCACCCCCTCCCTAGTTATGACAACCAGAAACATCTCCAGACATTGCCAATGTCCCCTGGTGGCAAAATCATCCCCGGTTGAGAGTCAGTATTGCAGGGTAATTCCTCCATTCCAAATTAACAGAGCACTTAGGAACAAGTGCTTTCTTCCATACTTTCCCTTTAATTAATGCTGACTTCCTTCTTAAAGTAAAATTCATATTTTTGACTGCATGTTTTTCCTTTCTCAAAGGGGAGGCTTATACAGTATTCTGTTTCTTTTTCTTTTTTTTTTTTTTTGAGATGGGGCCTTGCTTTGTTGCCCAGCCTGGAGTCAGTGGTGTGATCACAGCTCATTGAAGCCTCTACCTCCTGGGCTCAAGCAGTCCTCCTGCCTCAGCCTCCTAAAGTGGTGGGATTACAGGCATGAGCTATTGTGCCTGGCCTTCTGCTTCCACTTTTGTAAACAAGTCTTTTACTGTTACAGAAAAATACAGTATCAGGAATACTTCATTTACTGTTTGCCTCTTTTGGAGACCTCTGATTTTATTTTTTAAAGTCTGTTTGTTGCCTTCCTCTCCTCTCTGATTTGCAAGTGCCTTGTATTATATGGTGGGCCCTAAAGGACCCATTGTCCTAAATGTTATTCTGATTAATAACAATGATAATAGTCAGCAAATGCCACGTGTTTAACAGTGTGCTGGCATTCGACTCACATTGTTTCATTTGATTCTCCCAAGCCCACCTTGGTAAATGCCATGATCATGTTTATTCCAGGCAGAGAGAGGAGGAGCAACTCACCCATAGTTGCTCAACTGGATAGTGGGGAAGCTGGGATTCCACCACAGGCCTCTGTTCCCCAGCCTGGGGTGTTAATCACCCTTCCACCTCCCCCACATTCCACTGGCTCCTATGTCCAGATATCTCCCCATTCCAGCAGGGTTAGGGACAGAGTCTGTCTTCTTTTTCTTTCTATTTTCAATCCTCCACAGATCTTTGCACAGTGCAGAGTAAATGAAAGTCCCCAGTAAATGTCTTTCGGATGACCACACAGGTGGGTGAGCGACATCCATCTTGCCTGTGATCTCGGCTCAATGGTTGCCATTGCTTGCATCGTGGCAGCTCTGCTGGATGAAGCACTGCTGGCTGGTCTTTGATTCCAGAACTCAGTGCAGGTCTTACAGGGCCGCCTCTCCCGGTTTTGCAGATGTACGACAACATAGCATCGCTGCGGTTTAACGACGGCGATAGTGGAGAAAAACTGGTGTCCGCGATGATTTCAGCGGAAGGAGAAGTCATGGAGCTGCGGAAGATCGTGCGGGCCGAAGGGCGCGTGGAGGACTGGATGACGGCAGTTTTGAATGAAATGAGAAGAACTAATAGACTAATTACCAAAGAGGCTATTTTTAGATACTGTGAAGACAGAAGCAGGCAAGTCTGTGAATGTGAACGTGCATTGCTCTATCCTATTCATAGTCGTAATGGATTAATTTTAAGGGCTTGGAGTAGATTGACTGACATTCCAAATGAGGTTTTATTATTTTGCAATAGGTAATTAGTGGACAGATAGATGTCTTTATTTTTATTTTTTTGAGACAGGGTCTTGCTCTGTCACCCAGGCTGGAGTGAAGTGGCACAATGGCTCACTGCAGCCTTGACCTCCCGGGTTCAAGAGATCCTCCCACCTCAGCCTTCAGTGTAGCTGGGACTACCAGGCATGGGAATTACCACACCTGGCTAATTTTGTACTTTTTTGTAGAGAGGGAGTCTCACTGTGTTGCCCAGGCTGGTCTCAAACTCCTGGGCTCAAGTGATCCTCCCACCTTGGCCTCCCGAAGTGCTGGGATTACAGGTGTGAGCCACTGCACCCGGGCAAGCTAGCAGTCTTTAGTATATGTGCTGCCAAAGCGAGCTCAAGATAGCAGTCTTCAAATGATCACACCGAGCAGTAGTCTGAAAGTGTGCCCCCTGCGACTGTTAGAAATGCTGACTCTTGGGTCTTAGCCTGCACCTGTGCATCAGAACTCTGGGGGTGGGGCCTGAGGAGTTGTGTTTTTGCAAGCTCCCAGGGGATTCCCAGCACCCTTAGCATGTGACCCGCTGACTTAGTGAACCACCAGAAACGAGGTGTTTAATAGGATTATGTGTATGTAACGTTTCTAAAATATTTACTGAATTTCTACTGCATAAAAAGATTTTTGTGGCTAAAGAGGCTTCAGGATATCATGCTGAGCCCTGCCTGCTCCTAGCAGCTGAGTGCAGTTCAACTAGAAATACAGAAAGCCTCTTTGGCTAACTTGTTCTGTTAGATTGAGACAGGATCCCCCTTAAAGTTGGACTGTATTTGGCAGGGCCTTGATGCAGACATAAAATCTTCCTTGTTATTATGAGAACACCATCCTCTTGATTTTGTACACTGCCTTTTTGATTTTGCAAAATGCAAACATCTACTTAAAAAATTATCAGAGAGCAGCATAATATTTATTTGACTATGATCCTGCTGTTTCTGAGGTACTGAGGCATATAAAAAGTTTGTTTGCATCTTTATGTAGATATGTTCAGTGGTATGCTAGTAAACTGAATGTCTGGGAAAATTTTTTTTAAAGCTTTGATTTAAAGTATTTGCCAGTTTCCATGGTGCAAATATTCCTGTCATGGCTGATTTCAAAGCTCAGTGAAATAACAGTAAGTGGTTTAACAACCAGCTTGCAGAATTCCTGAGTATTTGACAGTCTTGCGAGTTGATAGGAGGTGGCCCTAGCACTCATTTAACCAATAGTTCTTCAACCCCTGCTCTGGGCTATTCACTATGCTAGATGCTATTTCAAAACCAAACTAGACAGAAGTCTCTGCCTTCTGTATGTATTAATCGCTGAATGTTTTAAAGTCTCTTTCATGCTCCAAAATACTATGAATTTTATGTCAGCATAAGTTGATTTTATTTGCATGATAGCTACCACTTTGCTAGGGCATTGCTACGTTTGGCGGTTCTTAGTTGGTGGAAAAGAGTAAGGAAATTCAGCCTGATGGACTGAAAAAGATATTTTTCTCATCCCAATGCGCCTTTGAGCACATGAACTTGTTGCTTCCAACAGGGAGAATAGTTGACATGAGCATGTTGATTTATTTGAGCTGATACGTGTGGCATCACTGAGAAGTTAAGGCCAGCTGTATCTAGTCCCAGGAAACACCAGTGTCCTGGGATTTCTTAGCTTTGCCCTGGTCATTTAATCTTCTCTGATCCTGCGGCCTCAGCTGCCACCTCTCCCTGTTTCTGATTCTAGGTTTGTCACGTTCTTTGCAAGGCCAGTCTTTGCTCGTCATTTCAGTGTCATCCTCTGGGTGTTCGTAATCTTTGTTGTCTCTCTCCTGATGTGTAGGGATCATGCATATAAGTAATCTTTAGGTTTTAGCTGCACCGCAGAATTTTAAAATAAGACAACAAAGGTCAATGTTCTTTTTATTGCTTTTCCTACTTATTTATTTATTTATTTATTTATTTATTTATTTATTTATTGAGACAGAGTCGTGCTCTGTCACCCAGCCTGGAGTGCAATAGCGCGATCTCAGCTTACTGTAACCTCCGCCTCCCAGGTTCAAGCGATTCTTCTGCCTCAGACTCCCGAGTAGTTGGGATTACAGGCACCCACCACCACACCTGGCTAACTTTTGTATTTTTAGTACAGACCGGGTTTTGCCATGTTGGTCAGGCTGGTCTTGAACTTGCAACCTCAGGTGATCCGCCAGTCTCAGCCTCCCAAAGTGCTGGGATTACAGGTGTGAGCCACCGCGCCCGGCCTCATACTCTTTTAAATTTATTTTGCCATTAACTGTAGGTCATCAAGATAATAACTATAGTAACCCGAAGTCACTTTTCCAGTATTGGCATTGTATTAGTCTGTTTTCACACTGCTATACAGAAATAACCAAGACTGGGTAATTTATAAAGAAAAAGGTTTAATTGACTCACAGTTACGCATGGCTGGGGAGGCCTCAGGAAACTTACAGTTACGGCAGAAGGCAAAGGCAAAGCAAGTACCTCTTTCACGTGGTGGCAAGAAAGAGAGAGAAGGAGGAACTAACAACCGCTTATAAAACCATCAGGTCTCATGAGAACTCACTCTGTATCGTGAGAACAGCATGGGGGAAACCGCCCCCATGATCCAATCACCTCCCACCAGGTCCCTCCCTCAACACCTGGGAGTTATGGGGATTACAATTGGAGTTGAGACTTGGGTGGGGACACGGAGCCCAACCATATTAGGCATTTACAGCTCTGAGTCCATTATTTCTTAAGTGCAGTTTGGAAAAAAAGCTTTGCCTAAATGTGTTTCAAGGCAATCACAAGCTATGTAAGTTAGTGCCTTGGTAGAGGAAATCCAAACATATGAAAAGAGGAGAAACCCCGTGACTCAGCAGGATCTGTACATTACGGGAGGATGAGGTGTTTCGTTTCACCTTTCAGACTTGCAAAAATTCAAAAGCATGATACAGCCTGGCCTGCAAACCTGGGCAGTGTGGTCAGAGACTATGAAATTCTTTGTTGGAATTTTAATTTTCTTTCTTGAGGCAGGGTCTTACTCTGTTGCCCTGGCCACAGTACAGTGATGTGAGCTCGGCTCACTGAAGCCCTGAGCTCCTGGGTTCAAGCAATCCTCCCACCTCAGCCTCCTGAATAGCGGGGACTACAGGCATGTGCCACCACATCTGGCTAATTTTTGTATTTTTGGTAGAGACAAGGTTTCACTGTGTTGCCCAGGCTGGTCTCAAACTCCTGAGCTCAAGCAATCTGCCGCAGCTGGGCCTCCCATAATGCTGGGATTACAGGTATGAGCTACCATGCCCAGCCTGGAATGTTTTTTTACTTCTTACAATAAACCCCAAATACTAAGTAAGTTTGAAAACCTTAATCAAGTATTTTATTTTATTTTATTTTATTTTATTTTATTTTATTTTATTTTATTTTATTTGTTAGAGACAGGGCCTTGCTCTGTCACTCAGGTTGGAGTACAGTACACAATTGTAGTTCGCTGCAGCCTCCAACTCCTGGGCTCCAGTGCCCCTGGAGTAGCTGGGACTACAGGTGTGCGCCATCATGCCTGGGTAGTTTTTAATTTATTTTTTGTAGAGACAGGGTTTTGCTATGTTGCCCAGGCTGGTCTTGAACTCCTGGCTTCAAGTGATCCTCCGCCTACGCTTGCCAAAGTGTTGGGATTATAGGCGTGAGCCACCACGACTGGCCCAAAACATTGAAAAAGTGATCTGGCAACTTTCTTTTCCTTTTCTTTTCTTTTCTTTTCTTTTTTTTTTTTGAGATAGAGTCTTGCTGTGTCACCAGGCTGGAGTGCAGTGGTGTGGTCTTGGCTCACTGCAACCTCTGCCTCCTAGGTTCAAACGATTCTCCTGCCTCAGCCTCCCAAGTAGCTGGGATTACAGGCACATGCCACCATGCCTAATTTTCGTATTTTTTTTTTAAGTAGAGATGGGGTTTCACCATGTTGGCCAGGCTGGTCTTGAACTGGTGATCCGCCTGCCTTGGCCTCCCAAAGTGCTGGGATTACAGGCGTGAGCCACCACACCCGGCCATGATCTGGCATCTTTCTATGCAGTCAGGTACCTGCAACATTTTTTGTGGCGAGAGGCATCCTCGGCCTGGAATTTTACTACCTAGTCAGAGATAGGTAACATCTTACTCCTACCTAAGTCTTACTCCTCTGACTTAGGTAAACAAATGCAGGCACTTGTTTACCTGAAGCCTTTACTTTGCCCTTCCTATTCCAGATCAAAGAAATAAATTCCTGAAGGGACTGTTTTGGGTACCAGTCCCCAGATTGATCAGAGCCTCTTACACGTGTGCGTTCTCTGCAGAGTCGACTGGATGCTCCTGTACCAGGGCATGGTGGTGCTGGCCGCCAGCCAGGTGTGGTGGACCTGGGAGGTGGAAGACGTCTTCCACAAAGTGCAAAAAGGGGAGAAGCAGGCCATGAAGAACTACGGCAGGAAAATGCACCGACAGATCGATGAGTTGGTAACGCGCATCACCATGCCCCTGAGCAAAAACGACAGGAAAAAATACAACACCGTTCTCATCATTGACGTGCACGCCAGAGACATAGTTGATTCTTTCATAAGAGGCAGGTGAGCATTTTCCGGGGGCACTGGCATTTCAAAAGGGACCCTTCGTGGTCCTCTGGTCTGTCTCAATGGTTTCCACTTCCTCCTCCACCTTTCTTGCGGTCCAGCATCCTGGAGGCCCGAGAGTTTGAATGGGAAAGTCAGTTGCGGTTTTATTGGGACCGGGAGCCAGATGAGCTGAACATCCGCCAGTGCACGGGAACCTTTGGCTACGGATACGAGTACATGGGTCTGAACGGCAGGCTGGTCATCACGCCCCTCACCGACCGGATTTACCTGACGCTCACCCAGGTGACTGTCGGCCTGGTGCTTGTGGTTACCACTTACCTTGGGGTGGGGCACTTTCTCTAAGCTTGAGGCATGATGACTGCAGTGATTGAAATAGCAGGGGAGATCGCTGCTTTGAAATCTGGAAAAGCTTTTCCATTCGGGATGTGACCCGATTGTCACCATTTGGGATTGGGATATAAGTGTGGCCATGCTTAGCCACTGCTACACTGGCCCCTAGGTAATGGTGTGTCAGGCTGTATCAGTAGAGGCCAATGGGAAAATGCAGAAATGCCAAAGATGGTGACTGTTAGGGCAGGTGTGATGTGGTTTTGCACGTCTTGTGACAGCTTTTGTTCCAGAATATATCTGTTCCAGTGAACAGCCTTGGATGGTAGAGATAGCGTCTCCCTCCAGGACAGAAGGTAAACTTGTTTGCTGTACAGGAAATGAAGGTAACATCCATCCAGGCAGAGTTTGGGCAGGTTGGCAAGCAACCCCCAAGACTGTTTGTCAGATGCTTGCTAGTTTTCTTTTTTTCTTTTTATAAATTAGAGATGAGGTCTCGATATGTTGCCCAGGCTTGCCTTGAACTCCTGGCCTCAGGTGATCCTCCCACCTTGGCCTCCCGAGTAGCTAGGACTATAGCACGCACCGCTGCACCTGGCTAGATTGGTGGTCTCTTAGGCTCACATTTTCTCAGCTGAGACTCATACCCGCTGTGGGTGTGGCATGCGCCTGGGCCCGTCTCCTCATCACCCCATGGGATTTGGGGGGACAGGGATAAAGGGAATGAGTGACAACAGGAAGCCCATGCTGCCTCCTGTGCTGTGAGTGATAAAGTCCTTTGTTTTTGAGAAAAAGAGTGTCATCTTATCTGTATTGGTTAGAGTTCTCCAGAGAAATAGTACCAGTAGGACATAGCTAGCTGTTTGTCTGTCTGTCTATCTGTCTGTCTGTCTATCTATCTATCTATTTATCTATCTGTCTGTCTGTCTGTCTGTCTCTCTGTCTATCGATCTGTCTCTATCTATCTATCTATCTATCTATCTATCTATCTATCTATCTATCTATCTAGATCTATGTATCTATCTTATCCATCCATCCATCCATCTGTCTATGTATCTATCT